TGGCAGCCCATTTACTGGGATAGGAGGAAGAATTATTCTAAATAATTAAACCTGAGAGAGACTTGCCAAAGTACGAACAAAGTACATGTAGTCACACAATATTCTTGCATTTTAAATTATGTCTATTCACTAGGGGTAACATGTGGCATTTAGCCATAGCCTTGTCTGAGGGCATGAAGCCACTTGACTTCACAAGCTGTGCCGGGGGAGTGCTGGAAGTAACACAGCTTTAAGAGGAGCAACTTTCTTCTCTTTTTATGTGGCCAGTCAGCTCTGCTGGGCTGCACGTGGGCAGTAGAGCTGTGACTCCCTGTAGTCCTCATCCCTTCCTGTCTCCTTTTTGGAGCATTGTTTTGGGGGCAAGAGGATAGTGCCTCAGAAATAGTCTCTGTGCTTACTAGACATCATTGAGTGTTTCATATAATATATATACACTTACACACACACGTATATATTTTACATTTTATTTGGTGATTTAGGGGGAAAAAATGGTCAAAATACTTTCTAAACTTTACAATTTTGTATTTTTATTAGTGTTTGGAGAATTTGTATATTTTAACCTTAGCACCAAAAGAGAAATGTATAAAATAAAATGACAAATACAGGTATTGGATTGTCCAACATTTCACTTACTCGGGGTATGTTTAGACTCCAGCTGGTCACCTGCGGCTGGCCTGTGCCAGCTGACTTGGGTTCGTGGGGCTCGGGCTGTGGGGCTGTTAATCGCAGTGTAGACATTCCAGCTCTGAGCTGTGGTACCCTTTCACCTCGCAGGTTCCTAGAACCTTGTCTTTGGTCTCAGACTGAACGTTTGCATCACAATTAAAAAATGGCAGAGGCCAGCTGCAGGTTTTTAATAGCAGTGTAGACATGCCCTAAGTGTAAACTAAAATTGATTAGCTTTCCAATTGACATAATGTAGTTTAGCATGTGTAGCAGCCACAAGATGGCGCTCTGCACACAACATTTTAAGAAGGTTCGTCATATGGAGCACAGATCCAGCTTCACATTGTGGTATAAATTTAGTGTGATGTCAATTAAAGGAAATGAGAACATAATACTATAGGAACGATCCATAGTTTTCATTTCAGTACATAAGACTTCAAACAGGAGCAAATAATGTCAACAATATCAAGTAGCCAAATTCATCAGCGCTATTCATTAACCTGCATGTGTCCTTTAAATACCCTTTAGATTAAAAACTAGTGAGTTTGCACAGAATGATTGATGAAAACCCTCTTCCCTCCCAAATAAATCAAAATTCTGAAGTGGGGAATTCACAAAATGCCAGAACAGTGAAGTACATGCTCCCTAACATTTGTGCTAAAACTCAGGCAGACAGAGAAGCACAAAAGTCATGCTCCATTGAAGAATTTATTATAAAAGTATTTTCAATGGAAAGAGGAAAAGGAATAAATTCAGCCCAGCTGGCATAAGTAAAGGTTGATTTTGGCCCACAGGTTTTTAATGACAAAGAGCTATTTATTCAATGTTACTATTGTAACCACATTAATACTCCGCTATTTTGTTGTGAATTTGATTTTAAAAATCTAAACAAACACAGTTTGCTTAGTAAAAGATATAAGGATGGACTCTGCACTTAGAGATCTGAAAACTGCCCAGCACCCAGAAGGTGTTTTTTATTCCTGAAAGGGCAAGGACATCGGAGCCAGCTAACTACCTGCCATAAACTATCCCATAAACTGGCCAATAACAGGCCAGAGAGCATGGCGCAAAGCCCTGCCCCCAGAATTTGGGGAAGGAAAGGCGTGAGATGCATCCTAATGTTGGCGCATAGCTGGCTGCACCCAAGCACCTTTCAAAGATTCAGGGTGGCCATCAACTGCAAATCCAGTCAACTCCCCTTCCTACTGAGACAGAACATCTTCTGTTATCCCCCTTCCATGTGGGGGAGGGATAGCTCAGTGGTTTGAGCCTTGGCCTGCTAACCTTAGAGTCATGAGTTCAGCCCTTGATAGAGGCCACTTAGGGATCTGGGGCAAAATCAGTGCTGGGTCCTGCTAATGAAGGCAGGGGGCTGGACTCCATGACCTTTCAGGGTCCTTTCCAGCTCTATGAGATAGGTATATCTCCATATATTATTCCTGCACCAGGCACTGGAACACAAAGTTAGAGTGTGAAGGGCAAAAGAACATTTAAGCCACTTTTCTCCTCCATTTCCCCCACCTAAATTAGGAACTCTCTAATTTATGGTCTGCTGCAACAGCTATAGCAAAGTATCATGTGCTTCAGTAACATCTCTTCCCCTCTGACCTGCTCACAGAATACCTCGTACATTACAAAGTACAAGCTGAATGGTGCAGCTGTATCCAGCCTGAGGAAGTTTAACACTGTGATGGGGTCAGGGTGCAATGATGAATTTACCCCATAAATTAGAAAATATCTTGAGGTCGTGATGTTACTTGATTAAAATTTCAATCTGCGCAGTAAATGTAATAGCTTTGATTTTATTTCCCATCATTAAGTACATTAGAAAACTGCAGTATCTCATACCACGGTGTGGCAACTGCAGGCAAATTGATACTTAATGGTGACCATTGTAGTGTAGTATGATGGACAACATACCTATATTGAAAAACTCTGGAGCACTAGCCAATGCTAGTATCAGCTAATGGGGCACTTTAAAAATTAAAAAAAATCATACAGCTTTAAAAAACCTAAATTTCCTTTCCAAAATAACAATATGACTTTATTGTAGCTTATTGAAACCAGGAGCATTTTAGAAATCGCATTCTACTTTATATGCCTTCTAGCATCTGGCTGTTTAGAGCGGCTATTGCCCACTCCCAGACTGGCACTGCCTAATTTCTGCTCCCACCCTACCCAGTCCCAGTCCTTCTTGTCTTGTGGATCCCTGTCCTGAGGCACAACTTCCTTGGAGTCCTGGGGAGGGGGACAGATTGCCACTGAGGGAGCTGGCTGTCTCCCTGCCTGAACTAGAAGAGTGAGGTCTGCATGTAGAGGGTCCCCGCTTCACGAAGGTCAGGAGGCAAAATCTGCCATTATTACTGGGAAACATGTCTACTTGGGTGATATTAATACACTAGCATGATTCCCCAGTGTTAAGCACTAAGGGCTAGATTCACAAAGGATCTTTGGCACCTAATTGCCACTTCAGGCACCTAAATTCCAGATTTTGGCACCACTGGGATTCACAGAACCCTCACTTAGCTGCCTTCTAATCCTGTAGGTGCCTAAACTTGCTCGGAGCCTAAATGTTGGCAGTAAAAGTTCCCTTGGCGCCTGTGTTTCTGCCTCTCAGCATATGCATTGTAGCCTCTCTCTAGCCATCCGGCTGTCTTAAGCCCCAGAATGATTCACAAACTGGGGGAAGATAGACACTCCTCTGCCTAACTCACATGCAGGGCCCAATACAGTAGGCACACTCAGAGGCTGCCTAACTCCACACAAAACAGGCAGCAGGAGGCTTTCCCCTATAACCTGTAGCCCAGTGGTTAGGGTACATGCCCAGGGCATGGGAGACCCCTATTCAAGTCCCACATCTGCCTGATGAGAAGGGATTTGAACTTAGAGCTGCCACTTCAAAGGCCAGTGCCCTAACAATCGGTCTATGGGACATTCTGATGTGAGGGTGCCTCACTGTCTCCTGGTGAAGCTGTTTTATGTTGGATAAATAAATAAATAGCCATAGCTACTGGGACTCCCACCTCTGAGGTAAGTGCCCTACCCATTAGGCTACAAAATCATTTTCTCTCTTTCCCCCCACCTAGCTTCTTGCAAGAAATGCTATAGGCACCTGACTCCAGGAGAGGGTTCACAGCTGAGAATCCCAAGCAAAGGTAGGTTTCTTCTTCCAGCCTGTACACTAAACTCCCTGAAGGGAGAGGGCTTAGGGGACATCCTCTCCTTGGCATCTCCCTGTGGTTAGCTTAGGCGGTTCCCTGCTCAGCATTTTGGCTGTTGTGAAGCCCATTCTTAGATGCCCATCTCCCTCCTTTCATTGTATAAGAATCCTACATTCCTAACTCAGGCTTTGTGAATCCCAATGGTTTTCTACATGCCTAAAAGCTAGGCACTGTGACACTCAGCAACGTAACACCTACCCTTTGTGAATCTAGCCCAAACTTTCTCTGCATGACAATGAACTGGGAGGAGCTGGATTTTCTTGATCATAAAGCACAGTTTTGGAATGAGAACAAGCATCGTTCATTTTGTGATTTTGTAATGGAGAATCGTATATGGAAGCTGTATCCTTTGTAGCTTTTGAATTATTATAATTGGCCATTTCAATCAACAGTTATTATTCCAAATGCTTTACAAAAGGATAAATCTTACTAAGATGATCCAAAAAAGGCATTCACTAAAATGCTTTAAAAAGTTAGTTACATAGTAGCTGATGATATCTGCATCTTTTCAGTGTTTCTTTATTGAATGTAGTGGTCCATAATCTGAACAGCCACTTCCTCTGTAAAGCTGTCTAGACTAGTCCTGTGATTAATCTTAATCAACCAAAGACCTCTGCATGGAGGATTCCTTAATAAAACAGCATAATATCCTGCTGCAGGATTGGGTCCTTACTTAGCATAATCCTAACACCACAATATTAGCTCTTTCTTCTACAGAACAAAGTACTGTAAAATCTTTCCAACATTAAAGTTTCCTGTAGCTCTGATACTATGTTCTTTGCATTCCCCAAACTCACCTGTGAGTTTTAAGTGCTCAAGATTTGCAGGATTAGGCCTTAAATCCATGAGACATGAATACAGTTCTAGATACAAAGGAGTTTTTTAATAATATATTTTAAAAATGAATCTCACTACACATTGATTTCTGTTTGCCGCTACAGTGAATACAACTGATTGTGTGGCAATTATTTCAAGAATTAAAATATATGTTGTATTTTGCTCAAATGATGCTAGGAGTTTTAACTATTCTGAAGGTATACAACAGCTTCATTATTTTTGAAATACTATACTATACTTCAGTGTGGAAAAAATAAACAAAAGTACTCAAGTGTCAATCACACAAGCATATTTATTATATAAATATTTTATAAATTACAACATTTTAATTATAAATGTAAACATTTCTAGGAAAATAGTGTTATATATTTCTTATACACGTTTACAACTAGTATAAGGCACATAGTGCAAAAATACTTTTCTGATACAGAGATCACAAAATAGTCATCTACATGTGTTATCTAAAAAGCAACTGCTTAAACGTATGTGGTACAATATAGCCTTTCATTAAAATGTATTCCTAACTTGGCTAACACTTTATGGGTAAAACTAAGCTATAGCTGCCATATGACCTACCAGTTCTCACTGGCATATAAATAGTTAGCTGATATTTGGTTTAGAGTTGAAAAATGCCTATAATTATCTAGTACATAATGTGTCGTTTTATGCACATAGAAAATCTTATTTTGAATACCTGAGAATTTACCTGAAACAGGTTATCTTTAGTCTGTACTTATTTCTGGACTTGGACTAATTCTAAACAACAAATCAAACAGCTAAATCATGTCTGAAATTTAAACATTTCCTCCTATACGTTTAATTTTTCTAGGCTGAAGCACTTTTAACAGTGCACATTACAGTTGCATTTATTGCCCTCTGAAAAATTAAACTGCACTTCTCAAAAACGTGCACTACACACACTTTGGCCTAACCCTACCTTCCCTTGTTGAACCCAGAACTTTCACTAAGGTCAATGGGAATTCTGGGTGTGAAAGTGAGACAAGATAGGGCTTTTGTTAATATGCTGTTAGCCACTTCCAACAAATAAAATGTCTGGAGTATCTGGGCAGAGGTTAAGTAAATATGTATAGTTATACAACCGCATACTAAATTGTATACTGCTTTTACAGTATACACAGTTGTGTGAGAGGTAGGGTTTTATTCATAGATTTTCAAACTATGATGTGTTTCTTTATTTTCTTTTATCCACAACAAAACAGCGTTTTGATGTTTAACATTTTTCATGGAGACTACAGAGTTTGAACCACACTTTCCAAAATTAATATTACTGTTTGAGCACCACAAAAAGAGAGAGAGAATGAATGTTTTTAATAACACAGAAATGAAAAAAAAACCTATAGAAACTGTATCAGGAAAAAGTATATTGATGATGCACTCTTCTGATGTAAATTGTTGACAAAACATAATTCCCAACAGGTTTCATAAAGCTGAAAGTAGTTGAAATTATGAATTGGTTTCCTTCTTTTCTACACGTTAATATAGTTGATCAACAAAATCAGCACAGTATATGCATTTTAATGTACATTGTACAATGAGGTGCACTGATTAGTTGCAGGTACAGTATTACAATTATGGTCCAGTTTAAGGTGTTACCAGCAGTAACATCAGTGCAGTTTATTTTATTTGTTTGTATATACTGTACATTGAATGAATACCTCTTTATTAAAACCTGAGGGTTTATGATTGTGGTTTATGCACCTGTTAGCCCATCACTAAATGATTAAACAATGATATGCACCCCTGAACACTGAAGAAAATGGGAAGGAATTCTTAGTAGTAAATTAACATTTCAGAGATGAAAGACTGAAAAAAATAATAGCACCTAGAATTTGCACCTTAAAGACAGATTTTCCTGCTTTTGATGTTCTTACCACTTCAGGGTTTTTACTGTATTTGAAGTTGGAGACCAATACTTGTGTTAGGAATACATTTCCCACAGAACCCTCCACATCTTCCATATATTTTAGTACCATCCTGGAAATTAGAGAGGCAAAAATAGTGAGAACTCAGTCAAGAGAAACTACCAATGCCATAGTTACACACAACAGTTTAATAAAATGCTGACTCATTAGAACCTTTGACACATCCCACTGAAGACTACTGTATCTGGAAGACAAGATCAAATTAACTCGAACCCATAGTGAACACACTGGGTTTGTCCAGACAGTGCAGCAGCATATACCAGAGGGCTGTAAATTGTAGACAAATGCCCTCCTAAAGGTTCCTAGCATATGTTAATGTAGCACTGTTTCAGACAGGACTATGTCAATGGGCAACAGGTACCTATTAGCACAGGTGCCAGCTTCCTACTTATTCCAGGGGTGCTCAACTGCAGGCCTCAAACCCGCATCCTGCCCTGCCTCTTCCTGCTTCCACCCCAGGCCCCATCCTCACCCACGCTCCACCCCCACCCCGCCTCTTCCCTCCCGCTTCCCTGAGCGTGCCCCATCCCCACTCCTCCCCCTCCCCCCAGCACCTCCTGCATGCTGCAGAACTGCTGATCCCGATGGGCAGGAGGTGCTGGGAGGGAGGGGGAGGAGTTGATCTGCAGGGCCGCTGGCGGGCAGGAGGAGGAGCTGACTGCCAGTGGGTGCTAAGCACCTGCTAACTTTTTTCTGTGGGTGCTCCAGCCCTGGAGCACCCACGGAGTCAGCGCCTATGCCTATTAGACTGTGTCAGCAGGGTCTATGCAGGGCAGTTAAAGTGCAATCCTTTAGAGCATTCTACAATTTACAGCCCTCTGACCGTGCACTATCCTACAGAATAGACAAGTTCATAAATTCTTGATCCATATACACTGTGTACCTTCAGAGATTGCAAGGCTAACTGTGCAATGTTAGAATGTACTGCAATATAAATAATAATATATATCCATGTGGCTATTTGAAATTTAATGAATTTACGAAAAACATGTATGGACTAGTGGTTAATTAACCAATGTGTGTTTTATACTATTTATACCCTAATGCTCTTTCGATTTCCTGCATGAATTCTGTAGGAGATAAAAGATCCAAGAGAATTCCGCACAATAGATATCGTAAAAAAGATTAATCACCTGGATAATGCCACTGTGTCATCTGAAAATTCTATGGGAAAGCTAGCTAGGATGAAGGTACTTACCTAGGTTGGAATGTTGTTAGGAGAACAGGATTAAAACACTCTTAACTCTTATGAAAGATGACATGAGATCTTCAGTGACCACAAGTTGTCAGACCTCAGTGTTATATCTCATCTCCTCAAACATGTCAGTGGCCTTGAACACCATTTTGATTCGGAAATGACTGAGATCAAAGAGTGGTCCCTACTGAATCACTACCACCACTTCCTACAGCTCTGAAGTATATATGAAAGTGTCTCAGTCAAGTCGAGAATAGACAAAATATATGCAAAACTACTTACTTGGGATTTGTGTATATCAACAGTTGCATAATTGCCCTGAGCAATCCATCTAGCTGTACTGGATAGCCTCAGTCCAGTGCCTGTCAAATTAATGCTGAACTGCCCCTATCAAGAAAAAACAAATCAAAGTACAGAGCTTATGTACAAACTTTAAGACACTTAACATTAGCAAATACTACTTAGAGTATTGCATTGTAACCTTATGTTCCATACTGAACTTTGTATTTCTAAAGTCAAAAAGCCTAGAAACCTCTATGTTGGCACACACAAGCCTTTTACTGTATTTAGCTTGCTCACCATCTCTTATACCTTGACAGTAAATTATTATTTTAATATTTTTCTCCCCTATTATAATAAAAAATTAGGTTACATCAAATACTCAGACATTTTGTGATGTTCCCGGATAGTTTTTGCAAAGGAATTAATTATGGACAAAAACATAATGATCAGGAGTTCAGTTTAGATTAGAGAAACATCCAAAATTTCTGATATTTATTTGAAACATAAACAAGCCTTTTCATCAAGAGACATTGCTGAAATTCTGGTACAAACAGTTTTATTGTGATCCTTGCAGTAATTTCTGGTTTACTGGCGATGGGAAATAATGCTAAATAATACCAATTATTAGATCATTGGCATAATTACAATACCATATAACATAACATCAGTTATCTTAATAATCAAATAACAATTCTGGTCAAAAGCCAGACATTTTGAGAGATCAACAACGAATTTCAAAAATACTTTACAAATTATCTGAATTTCTGAAAACCTCAAACTTTTTGGATTGGTTCATGTTTTGGGTTTGAGTCACATTTTATCTGAAGTGGATTGCTTATTATTCCTAATTGAAATCTGATGACTTTATTTTAAGTTGTGTATTAAAAAATACAAGACCTGCCAGAATGAGGCCTGCTTTCTTAAAGATAGACAAAGAGGGTGAGGTAATATCTTCTTTTGGACTAAACTCTGTGGGTGAAAGAAACAAGCTTCTGAAGCTTTGAAGAAGAACTTTGTGGAGCTCAAATGCTTGTCTTTCACCAACAGATGTTGGTCCAGTAAAAGATATTACCTCACCCACCTTGTCACTCTCATGTCCTGGGACCAAGACAGCTACAACACCTGAAACAACAATTTCTCAGAAGATAAATATTTTAAACTGTTCTGAACTTTTTGGAGCTACATAGGCAGGGACTGCCACACTCTGGCAACTACAGACAAATCCTTCTCTCCTACTCACAGCTCTCAGCCTTTTTCAAGTGCAGTATCCGATCAAGTGCCTCACCCTATTCTGAAAGTGATAACTCACTCTTCAATGCTTACATAATACTTAATATACCTCTTAACAAAAGCAATCAATACTGATACAAATAAATATTTAAATTAAATTCACTGCTAAATACAATAAATTTATACATTATAAATTAATAAAATAAAATAAATTAATGGAGATATCCCATCTCCTAGAACTGGAAGGGACCTTGA